TTGGACTGTTGGTTAATTGGACCGTTGGTCAGCAGTTGCGATGACTCCTCCAGAGGTTCAGGAGTCATCGACGACGGACACCCCTCCAGGCGTTCCGGAGGCGAAGGTGGCCACACCCCCGGTGGTTCGGGAGGTGGCGGCAGTAATTACTCCTCCAGTGGTTCCGAAGGTGCCTGAGAACGTCACGCCTCTGGAGGTGCCTGACGACATTGCACCCTCGGAAGCTCCGGTTTCTGAGGCTGACACTCCCTCAGCAGTTCTTGGTTCTGCTGGGGGAGACTCTATGACTTTTGGTATGCCTTGGTCTAGGAGAGGGACTCTCTAGACCAAGGTACAGTATCGTCCAAAGACCAAAACTACCTGCACCAGTCCTGCATTTGGGTCCTGCCTGCTTCCTGCCATGTCGATGGCTCATTGTGACATAATCACTAATACTACTAACCCTAGCTAACCTATCTATCCATCTATCCTTCCATCCCTCTATCTGTCTGTCTATCTGTCTGTTTATCTGTCTATCTATCTTAATCACAATAATTAAAAAACAAAAACATTTAAAAATTTACCTCAGTGGCAAAATTTAATCACTTCTGCAGACCAGATTTGGGGAGTTTGCAGAACTCCCTAAATCTGGGCCAGAAGTTTGAACCCACTGTCCTCCACTGAAGAACATCCCAAATATTCCAGGTGTTGTATTTTTCAGTTTTGTTGACTGTCCCCTTGACACCAGTACACCAACTTAAAGCAGGCAGTAACTGACTGACATGTTGACTTTGTTTCCAGTGGTACTTATTAGCAGATGTTGATCTGCTAGTATCTAGTGTCTGTACTGTTGGTATGCTGTTGTGTTCAATCATCAATACAAAAAAAAGTAGTCAAGTACTCACATCAGGGATGGATTGTCACAGGAAATAAAACACATGGAAAATCACTTGAAACTCATGAGGGACATTTTATGTCACCATTAAATTAGATTTAGTCCAGCTGGGCTTCTGTCATTTAGTACAGTTTATTTCAATGTGTTTGTTGTCAGCAAATCAAGTGTGGTCCGATTACAGTATATAGTTACGTCACTGTGAGCTACAGGGTGGGCAGGTTTAGTTAAGATAATTGTTAATATGAACATAAGTTGCTAAAAGCCACAAGGAGATAATGCTAACCTATACATTCTGGTAATTGAAAAGGACTCAATTGGCTAAATAAAAATGCCCTATAAACATTTTAAAATTATAGGAATGACATGTTTAAATAAGTCATGATTTAGCGTTAGCCATGATAATGGCAAAATGCTAAAAGTTAGCTTGACAAATTCCCTTTGATTCAACCTTCAAACCCCAACCTTGTGAGGTGCCTGCCTTGTGCCAAATCTAGACATAAGCAATTTATTGCAACACAACAAAACAGTGTCAAACAATGACATCACTGTTGAACATCCGACTAGGATTACAGTTCCCTCAGTTAGGAAACATCAGACAACACGTGAAGAGTTCCCAGGACTTTACTAAGGACAGGAGATCATGCCTGGACCAGATGAAACCATGGCTTCGTGTGATGAAACATTCTGTTTATTTTTGCCCCTAAGATTGAGTAGAGACACAAACATGGGTGTGTCCACACTAATTATCAGTGCAGCCACGAACTTCCACGAGTTTTAGACCACACATGTGTCAATCTGTGTCAAAGCATGTTGCAATTCATTAAAAATAGGATGGTAGTTAGTATTATTTTTATTTTATATATAAATATAAATATTATAATTTAAAAATTATATGTATTTTTATTTTAGCACACATCCTTGGGGTTATTTTTTAAAATATTTTTGGGCAACCCTGAGAATTTTATGTATGTTTTTTTTTTTTTATTTCTAGATAATATTTACCAATCTATTTTTTAAGCTAAGGTTAACCTATTTCTGAGGTGCCTTTTAATTGAACTTTTATTAGTTTTGGCAACTAAGTAACTAACTAATTTTTTGGGGGCATTTATTATTTGTCTGTAGTAAAAATATATCCATACAGAGTGGACAAGTACAGATCACCTGTGAGGCTGTTTGTAGAGAGACTTTTCTCAGATTCTGCTGAAACATTCTGTTGCATTATAAAGCCTTTAATACAATCAGACGGAACAATGTTCACCTCATAGTCACAGTGCAAAGGCAACCCTTTCAACACCCCAAGTCAATCACTTCCTGCAGTCAGTACTTCCCTTTCCCATAAGGTGGCGTTATTTTGGTTTTGCCTTGTTTGTGTATTGTGTTTGAACAGTCCGTAGAACAAAGACTCATATTCACACAATTTCCATGTGTTTTATTTCCAGCTCAGGTCTGACCTGCAGCAGTTGATCTGTTTAAACATAATGAGTTCTCAGTACAAAGAGTTCAAATACCTGCCTACGTCTGCCACCAGTCAATCAAGACTCTTCTTCTTTTTCTTTCGGCTTTGTCCCTTTTTTTTTTTTTTTTCAGGGGTTGCCACAGCAAATCATTGTTTTCCATCTCTCCCTGTTCTCTGGATCTCCTACCCTGACTCCAACTATCTGCATGTCCTCCCTCACTGCATCCATATATATCTCCTCTTTGGTCTTCCTCTTTGTCTCCTACCTGGTAGCTCCATCGACGAACATTCTTCTACCAATGTATCCACTGTCCCTCCTCTGCACATGTCCAAACCATCTCAATCTGGCTTCTCTAGCTTTTTCTCCAAACCTTCCTGTCTGTGTTGTCCCTCTAATGACCTCATTCCTGATCCTGTCCATTCTTGTCACTCCTAAAGAGAATCTTAGCATAATAAAAAAGTGACAAATCAAGATTTACTTTAGGCACCTTCCTGATTCACTGGGTTTTTTATTAAAACAAGTGTTTTGTCTCTGTGATACCTTTAAACTACTGAGGAAGAACAAGGGAAAGAAAAAAAAACTGTGGATTTAAAAACTAGACGACATCAGTCAAACAACATCTAGACCTGATGGGGAAACACCACTGTTTACACAGTCAGTCTGTCACTCAAGTTCTCAATGTTCAGGTGTGATTTCACAACGGTTTTTCAGTGAGGAAGACATATATATTAGACATATTCTACATATTCTTATACAAACTCGTCTGTAATATATATATATATATATTATATATATTATCAAAAACACAAAGAAACAGAACAAGGTTTAACATTATGTTATGGACATTAACCTGGTGTTCATGGCTGCAGACCCCTGATTTAGGAGATCGCATTTCTTATAATATAAATACATGTAGTTTTATTTGGTTTGAGTTTTCCCCTTTAATTTGATGTCTTTCTCCACATTGAAGTGCAGTAACTGACGCCAGAACCTGCTGTCTACACTCACATGTCTACACTCACATGTCTACTGAACAGACAGTTTCACTTTCACCAGCTAGAACAACGTCTGTGACTTTTACAGCCTGTTTACAGATCAGGTGGTGTAAAAGAATCGTGATGTCATAAAGTAATAAATATAAAATTGTGAATTACTTGAATATATTAGTCACACAGATTCTGACCACTACATACCCTTCCAGTAAACACTAGAATGGACTATGGCCCGTTCAGTTTTTTTTATTTGGCTGCCAAAATTTTCCAAATTATATAATGTATTTATATTATCAATATACTTTTGCTTTTGCCCTGCACTACCCACATTTCCCAGATAGATTGCGTAAAAAATGCTAAAAGCATTTTAGTATTTTAGCGTTTATTCATTACTTTTACATGTCATTTATGTTATATCAAACGAACACTCCATCTCTCTGCTCCTGACCCAGCCCCCCTGTTTAATTTTAGGACAATTGTGGCCCACGAGTCAAAAGTTTGTCCACGCCTGCCATAGACGTTGTCCATGGATTGTCAATGGATGGAGCTGTGGTGCACAAAATCACATGGTTGGGCCGTAGTCCGCCTGCTAGATAAATTAAACTTGTTTCTTAGATAAGAACCCTCCCTAAAATTAAATTATATTTTAATTAAATAAATAAAGCCAACTACTGTTTAAGGCATACTGAATGACAGAAAAATATCTCTAGTCAGACTTTGCTGTTGCTCATTTTATAAAAAAATAAAATCATCTGACTTCAATTTTCAAGGACAAATGATATTGATTTAATTATATAATGTATACTTTATAATTACATAAAGTATACATACATATATATGTATATATATATATATGTATATATAAGTATACTTTATGTTTTGAAAGCACACAGAATGGGAATTTGTGGCACCATTAAGTTCAGCCATACGAATTGAAATTGGTATAAAAACATTTATTTCAATGTATGCAAACATTTTATTTACAAAACACATAAATATATTTAAATTATCAATGAAGTGAAAGCTGTACATTGTTTTACATTTGAATTTTTTTGCAAACAAATAAATATAAGGGACATCACAGCATTTGCCTTTCTATTACTGTAGGACACACAGAAAACAGAATAGATTTTTAGTGTCTGTGTTTGAGCAGTTGGTGTTCTGGTGTCGGTGTTCTAGTGGTGCTGCCTCAGACACACACGTCTCTGAGGTAGCTGATGTCATGTCGACACAGTGGGCAGGTACCAAACTGCTGTAGGTATTTTGGAGTGCAGGAGCGACACAGACAGCGGTGGTGACAAGGCAGCGTGATTCTGGCCTCATGATCCAGGCAGACTACGCAGTATTTGTCTGTGATCAGAAGAGAGGAAGTGTTAATGTGGAAACATCAGCACAAACACAACAACATCATCCTGCTGCTGTGTGGGAGGAAATGTCCAAAACTGAAGGGTCTCACCTGCTGTGACATCTCTGTCTAGGTCAGAGACCCTGTCCTCAGAGTCTTCACAGAGTTTGGACACAGTAGAAATCCAGCTGTGGATATTGTCAATGTCAGATGAGGTGAGAGGTTCAGGAGCAGGACAGGATCTTGAAGTGGAAATCAGAGCCTTTTTCTCTGAGCCTGCAGAAAAAAGAGTGAGACATTTAACATTTAACATTTAAATGTTGAAAACAGGCTGTAAATCCAACAGTCCTTCAAGGTTAGTTAGTTCATAGTGAACTCACCCAGGAGGAAAACAGAGCAGGTTTGTCCATAGATGTCAATCACAGCCCACAGTGGCTTACTCAGGTCCACACCGGACAGTAGTTTTTTCTGTCGTCTGCTGCGGTCGTTTGTCACATAAACGCTGCCGCCGCCAGAGACCCAGAACTCCAGCACTGACCCCGGTTGGCAGTAGGACTCGTGCACAGGAGCCATCCAGTGCCCGGGGCTGTCACTCAGATCAGGAATGGCCAGACAGGGGAGCGGCAGAGATCTGGCTGAGGGCGGTACATTTGTGAAACCCAGACGCACTGTCCCCTGCCACCTGTGAGAATCTCTTTCCACCCTCAGGCGAACCTTCTCCTGGGCCTTCAGAGGACGGCTGCTAAACACCAGGCCGTTTTTAAAGGTGGTGTCGTTCCTCTCTGCCAGTCGACAGCCTTGGCTCAGACGGACCATGTCTCCTACAGCCCGATTGTGGAAGGTCAGAGGTCCAAGGCAGGACGAGCTGCACTTGTGGGTCTGCTCTGTTACAGCAACTGTGGAGACAATTACACATTAATGTTGAGGAGATGCTAGTCTTTACTGACAGCTGCTTTGTGAATAATAATAATAATAATAATAATAATAATAATAATAATAATAATAATAATAATAATAATAATAATAATAATAATAATAATAATAATAATAATAATAATAATAATAATAATAATAATAATAATAATAATAATAATAATAAATAACATATGAAGAAAAGTATCTCACCAGAGGTTTGGCTGCTGCTCTGCTTCACCATGATGAATAGACACTCAAAGTTTTCTTCTCCAGGTCTTGACAGCAAATGTGTTCACGTCTGTGTTTTTCTTTCAAATGTGTTTGACAGTGAGTGTCGGCTGCCTTTATAGCAGGAGCTGCACATGTTAAACCAAACAAAGCTACAACACTAACGAATGTGTAGGGGGGAGTGTCTGACTGACAGGAGGGGAGGGCGGGACCTGGGAAATTTACCAGGGTGTTTGGACGAGAGGTGCAATAAATCCAGTTTGTCCAGTTATCAGTGACACCAGTCGAACAAAACAAATATAACGTTTTATTACAGTTTCTCGATTATGTGTGTGTATTTTACAGCAATGGTTTGTGCTGAACTCACGGTCGAACACATTTTGTTGAAAGTTTAAACCTGTTACATGTCACACTGTGTATGAATGTAAATATCCTGACCCATTTTCACCGTTTATTTGTAGTACAATATACTACTTGAGAATCTCAGCGTCAACGAGAAAGAGACTGAGGATGAAATGTGAATGAGTCACTTTTATTACTATATATCACATTTCAGGAAACATCATTCAATTTACCGGCTTTTGTAACGTGTCACAGTTTGATGAAGCAGATGAAGTCGTTTGAAGGACTCGCAAACGTTTAGTTTTCCGATGTCATTGCATTAAACAGTTTTCTTTAAAAAGATGAATAACCAGTCAGTCAAAGTCAGTTCCCTTAGTAATTCCCAAATGTACACAGAATTAAAACGGTGCCATGTTCGCGTGCAGTAACGTGCCCCTTTACGTTTTTTAAGAAGTGAACCCAAATATATCTACAGATGTGTGATATTCAAAAAGTAGACACTACGTGAAACTTTGTCGTCTTATCTGCTAAATGTTGATACCTGTAGTGCCTGTGGTAATACGGTGTGTTTAAAATTTCCCGATAATTTTTAGAAAATTGAATCGGGAGTTGTTTCAAATGTAATATATATATATAACTTCTCACTGGATTTTTCTAATAAACAGAGCGGCCATCATTGAGTAACGTACGCTCACAAATTCAGTCTTTTCATTGGTCGCTGCTCCAAACCATGTGACAGGAAAAGGCCATGTCATCCAAAAATGACTGCATTACTTCATTGGAAAGTTACTAACTTGAGTCAGTTCTTCTCAGAAATCCCCCATCACCTGACTTCAACGGACACTGAAGGCTGCGGAGAACTAAGGGAAGTTATTTCGTTATGGACCGTTGCTATAAATCTTTTTTGTTTTTGTTTTATTATTATTTTACATTATTTCGTTCGAAATCACGTCATCTCCGAAAATCACTCCACTCTCAATGATTGCATGCTTTTATAAACCAAACAAATAAAATATCGACGAATTTCTAACACAGCTTTTAAACACTGCAATAGAGATTTGGATGTCTGGGGGAAAATCACTTGTTTCTCCTTGTACTTTGGATTTGTGGAAGACGAACCTTTAGGTTTCAAAAAATAATCGAAGATACGTTTTTTTATTTTACGATTATTTACGTTTTCTTAAATTATTCAAATTTTATACGACTCACAACACTGTTTAAATGTCTGTACATACACTATGAACTTATATTTAAATGAGTTTTGCTGATGTTTCAATTTACGTCAGTCAGAATTTTTAAAATATTTTTTCCTGAAAAAGATGTTCAGATAGGAGCGAGACAGAAGTTTGTGACGCAAATTTTCGCGTCACACCTTTTTGTTTTTGCATTGTCTGTGTGTCAATCAAACAGCTGCAGCGTAGTTGTAAATTTCAATTCTTCCCGTCAGTCAGATCACAGCTGATAAGCTAAACACTACAACATACAAATAAACACGGTTTACTGATTATTCCTTCACCGGTTTTGTTCTGATCCTGACGTCTCACGTTTCACAGAAATCTTATGGGTGATTGAGGCACAAGATGATCGTGAAAGTTCACATTCCGAAGTTACATCTGACCCCTTGTGGCCAATATAGGCCGTAGCAGCGTATATGATTAAAAGTACAGTGAAAATTCTCTTGAATTTTCCATATTAAGAATGGTTGTAACAATAATAATAAAACGTCTATAAGTGTGCAGTGGCGCAACATGTTTCCTCTGCCCAAGTTGGACAAAATAAGAATAAATTATATTCCTACAAACTGTACGTATTTATCAAACCATAACCACCTTGTGGTTTACTTTAACCTAATTACGTTCCTATTTTTTAGCTAAATTGAAGCGTATGTTTAATATTTGGTATATTCTCATCATATTATAATTATGTTTACCTAGGTAAAAAATAATTGTCGCTGCAAACAATGCAGAAGATTCACTTATAATACTGTAACCTTAGTTAATTGACACCAGCACCAACTGCAGTCTACTTACAAATCTACTTACAAATCTGTACTTACAAATGCACTATTTGAGTTGTTTTTGTTGTTTTTTAAGTTTTGGAAATTTTATTATGTGTTAATGTCTTAAAATTCCGTTTGGTATTAAAAACGAATGCAACCATTACGTTGTGTCTCATACATTTTCAGGAAGCTCCAAAATGCTCCATGATATTTAGTACACGTGTTAATGTTTTTATTCAGTTAAATAGAGATCATTCAATATACAGTAATTACAATGACAAGCAATAGAACGTTTACTTACAAATCTACTTACAAATCTGTACTTACAAATGCACTATTTGAGTTGTTTTTGTTGTTTTTTAAGTTTTGGAAATTTTATTATGTGTTAATGTCTTAAAATTCCGTTTGGTATTAAAAACGAATGCAACCATTACGTTGTGTCTCATACATTTTCAGGAAGCTCCAAAATGCTCCATGATATTTAGTACACGTGTTAATGTTTTTATTCAGTTAAATAGAGATCATTCAATATACAGTAATTACAATGACAAGCAATAGAACGTTTAAAAAAGCATCCATTGGTATGAGAAAACCAGTTGAAAAAACATACAAAACAAAAAAACAAACAAACAAAAAACAAAACAAAAAAACCAACCAACCAAACAAACAACCCCCCAAAACGTTGGCCACTTTAGGGCGTTGTTTCACTGTCCATGTTTTGAATTGGCAGTACTGTACACTATACACATACTGTACTTCAACACAGAGATGGCATGGGATGTAATTTGCATAATTGACATTACAAATTGTAAAACATGAAATTATTAATGTGTGCTGTTATTTTTGACACTTTTTTTTCAATTTTCCTTTATTCCTTTATTTTACCAAAGTAGATAACATACACAATAGTGAGTTGAATTGGACCTTCAATGTCTGATCTCACTGTAGACTAGTGAAATGTTTATCTTAGATAGAGAGAGAGCAGCTTCTGGGGGTGGAAGACTCCAGTAGGCGTCTGCTGACTAATGTCTGAGAAAAAGGAAACACTGCAAAGAATGACAGATAAACCTCTCAGAGACTCACACGTTCACTGTGGACGCAGGAAAAACAGCTGATCTGCAAAATGAGGGACAACATTTGGAAGAAACAGGAGCATTAGTGTGTTTGACTTTGCTGCAGCCCCCTTCCCTTCCACACTCACATCCCCCGACCCCTACACCAAGGCCTGTTGCTGGAGCAGCAGATAGAAATACTGAGGCTTCTGTTAAAAAGTTTGCGTGGTTGTGGGGTGGCTTTATGCATGCACGTGTGTGTACGTACATTGGTCACTCATTATTCAAGCGTTGTACACAAACCCACTGATCAGAGTGATGTTGCTGCAGTGGTTCACTGAATATTTGATCACATTCCATTTTCCTACAGAAGTTACAGATTATATCGGCAGCCACGTTTAGACTAGATGTTTCAAAATCTTGTGGTTTCCCATATAAATCTGTCCAAAAGGAAACAGCACACATGGAATATTTTTTGTCAGATTCTTAAACACAAACCCAAGGAACTAAATGATAGAGCTATGAATAAAAGAAAGAAAGAGTGAGCAATTATCGTTGTTGTGAGTTAATTCTGATGATGTGACCTCCCCTGCTACCCTACAGGTGGTGCTCTAAAAGCAAATCTTAGACCATGAGTTGAATGCTTAATATGCTAATGGCCTTAACCCTTTTTTATAAAACCAAGAATAACCTTTTACTGTTTGATTGCCCAGCTGACCAGAGGACTCACAAATTGTTCATTTTGCCCCCGCTTGTTACTGAAACCACAAAAACATGATAACACAAATATATGTAACACAAATTCTTGTCTTAAATATTTCTCAAAGTTACATTTTTTTTACATTTATTAAAATAGTAATTTCTACTCTGATACAATGCAACCTGACAGCACCACTACACTTACATAATAAAAGTGTCAATTTCAGGCTGATGCTCCACAGAAATACTCAGAACATGAGCCAGTCAAGCAACTTGTTACTCCTTGATGATTTCCACTACAACCAGCTGTGCACCAGTCTGTGATATATATATATATATATATATATATATATATATATA